GAATTCGGTGACTTGCCTTATCACACAGCAGTGAGGTGGCTCAGCTACGGTAAAGTCCTGTTTCGTTTTTATAAGCTCCGAAAAGAAATAGATATTTTTCTAACCGTAAAGGATAAAGCTGATCCACTTCTGTCAGATCCTACCTGGCTGTCAAAGTTGTCATTTTTGGTTAACATCACATCCCACATGAATGAATTGAACTTGAAACTTCAGGGAAAGGATAACCTTATCTGTGATCTCTGCAGAATCATCAAAGGATTTCGGAGAAAGCTATCATTGTTTAAAGCACAACTGGAAGGAGAAAACTTCTCTCATTTTCAGGGTTTCAATGAGTTTCGCGCTGGAATCGCAGAAGATGTCAACCTCGAGTTTCAGAAGAAGATTATTAGTGACTTAGATAAGCATTTTTTGGAGAGATTTTCAGATCTCGACAGAATTGAGAGTGACATTCTTCTGTTCTAGAATCAGTTTGATTGTAACCTTGATGACGTGCCAGTCGAACTACAGTTGGAGCTCATTGATTTGCAAGCAAATGACTTGTTGAAAGAGAAGCACAGAGAAGGAAAACTTGTTGAATTTTATCGCTGCTTACCTGATGATGAGTTTTCAGAGTTGAAGAAATTTGCCTCTGGTATGGCATCAGTGTTTGGAACAACTTATGTCTGTGAGCAAACATTTTCAGAAATGAAGTACGTGAAGTCAGCACATCGAAAGAGGTTGACTGATGAACATTTGAAAGCAATTCACTTGGTTGGATGCAGCAATTCCAAAGCAAATATTGATGATATCTCAAAAGCTAAACGTCAGTTTCACAAATCTAACTAACTTTTTTTGCTGCTTAGTTTGTGAGATTCGGATATGTGCGCACTGGGTGCGATATAACTATCTTATTGCTAACGTCGCCTTCTTTGATAACTTTTTGGTAAATAAACATGTTTGTTGGCTTTATTTTTTGTGTATTCACTGTATTGAACAAAATGGTTATGCGGCCCGCGCTCGTCATTCTTTCAGTTATCTGGCCCGCTGTGAAAAAAAATTTGGTGACCCCTGGGCTAGAGGGAAGTCAGTTATTCAACATCACCTTTTGCCAACTTTTATGTTACTCTTTATCAAAGAATACTGGTACTGATCGTCACATTAAAATGCCCTCGCAGATAAAAGGGACGATTATTGCGAATCCAGCGCCCTACTCGTTAGGGCTACTGCTTTGTTCAATTTAAACTATGAGAACTAAGGATAATGTTTATAGTTCAGATCTGTATGCTGCTGAAAATATATGTAAATTAAGCCTTGTATTAGGAGGTTAAGCGTTATTTTTCGTGATTAGGTTTCGTATTCAAAGTTACTTCCAATGGAGTTATGATATCTTACAAGAATTTCTCAGTCCAATCGTAGTGAGTATATTGTGTGTAATGTAAAATTGATAAAAATAATCAATAAATTATCGAAATCAAATTATGAAAAAGCAAAAAAAAAAAAAAAATCATTCGTCTTTATTCAACCATTTACATTGGATTAAGAATAAAACGATTGAATCTTTTTGCATATATTTCTTTCGTAAACAATAAACACTACCAAACAGTATACAACTGGACATCATTAAAAAGTGTTGCTGATCTGTTTAACATTGTAAATAACACTTGAATTCCCACATAAATTGCGATTAGCAGAATTAATTTGGTCATTTTTCATTACATGTATATACAAAACAACGATATATATATTTTGATAATAGACGTTTCAATTGCTCCCAGTAGAACTTAATTAATAAAAAATATCAAGAAATGGATAGGCTATTAACCATATTCATCCACGTACTATGAAGTTTAAAAAGAAAGTAAAATATATAAATATAAACACAATGTATAATTTATACATCAATCTAAGTTTATGTGACGGTTATATTGCATTGTAACGAATATGCCACTTTATACAGCATTTTTTTCCCTGTGTGTAAGATTAGAAATAATAAGCTCGTAAGTCCCGTTTATACGATTCGGGTAGCAAATTTGATTGACCCACTTTAAAATTCTTCCAGTGACATCTGCAGGCTCTAATCTAAAGCAAACCGCTCCCAGGATTCGTAAGACACATAAATAGAACTACAGGCTTAACATTTAAACTGACATCTGACAAAGGCTTATAGCCGAAACTAGTCTTGATTAAAAATATTTATTTGGGGAGGGGATAATAAAGTCGTCTGAAAATAACGCACTAGTAGTTTTACTTCCCCAATATGCTGAGAAGATATTTTTTGCAATATAGGCCCTCCTAAATTTTATTCACTGAACAGAATCATACATTGATCTTTAAAATTAATCTGTTCTTTAAAAAAAAATCGTTAAAAATGGTTCAATGTTGAAAACCAAATACATATTTTAAATCTAGTAGTAAAAATGAAAAAGTTAAAGTTATAAACTTGACAGATTAAACTTTATACAAAAACAAATAAAATGCATGAAAAGAAGTTAATACAGTATAAAACTTACCGAAGAAAGTATTATGTCAGTATAAGATATATCTTGTGCAATAAAGAAAGCAGCACCGACATACCAATACAATTGAATTACATACTACCCTAGGAGGAAGTTTAAAGGTAACTTAGAATCTTCACTTCGATTTTGGACAAATTTATTTTTCCAGCTACTCTTAGTTCAGAAGGTTCTTCTGACCAACAAAGAGATATTGATATGCAAAACACAATGAAAGAGCTGAACATGAACGATAAGTAGTAACAATAACATCAATATTTTAATCTAAGATGTAACTTATGTATTATTCAATATTCAATCAAGTGTATAAAAACATACAAATGTAAATATCCATATTTCAAATATACATACAATGAATAACGTTTTATGGAATCAGAAACATGCTCGCAATTATGTATAAAAACGTATACCTTTGATAAAACCCGATATAGTTTAAACGTATAGTTTTTAGACCTAGCTCTTTCTAAAGAGAATAATTAATTTTCAACTTTTAATTTAAAGTGTAGAAAAATGTGTAGTATAGAATTTATTATGTATATAAAGTTAGAATTTTCATAGTAAAAATCATTTAATTTTTAACATAAAGAATATTTACTGATCGAATATATAACTTTATTAAGATTGCTTCATTTTCAGTGACGGTGTAAATGGCAAAAACAGATAAAACAGCATTATTGTTTAGGATTTAACAGTAACTCTAAAACCCATTATAAAAGTATGACCCATCGCAAGCCATATATGGGTGATGTTATATGTTCTGATCCTTTAACTATAACATTTTTATTTTACAAGTGTCTCAGAATGTAGAAACGTGATTGTCTTGAACATATGCTGTCTCTCTTATGCTGCTGTTTTTTAGCACAAAACTACATTCTTTACACCATTGACTCACTGTAGGACCTCACTTACGCAACCATATTTAAAGTATGGGAAAGGGTACATTCATTGAATACAGCTTACAAACAAGGGAATTAATTTGGCAGTAAGCCATTTTTTCCAAGATTGTCTTGAAAATACTGATGTTATGAACTGCGTGGAATCAACATGTCTTACATTAAAATCAGTTACAGAAAAAAAACAAAAAACAAATAAATATTTTTGTAAACTTAATTCAGTGTTCTCATTTTGAAAAATACCAATGTTTTAGAAAGTTTAGAACAAGATTATACAAATTTTTTTCACAGTATCACATTCACATGAAAATACAATATTCATGAAGTAGCTATTAAATAGCAAATAGTGATCATTCACTATTCACACAACAAAATATAAACTTAACATTACCTCAGTACTCCAGCATGTTATACTTCATGTTATTCCATGTTATGGAATATTATTAGTATTTTAAAAAGTGTGACTTTTTTGTTTAATGAAAAGGTTTTACAAAAAAAAAAAAAATAGAACGCTTGTTTTTTATGCGAAAGTGTAGTGAAACATTACATATATTATGCATTATAAACAGATGCTAATCTTGTTTTCAGTATATGTATAAGGTCTTTTGTTAAAAACAACTTTTACAAAAGCAACTTGAATATGTGAAATACAAGGTTTTTGATAAGAAATTTAAAATTTTGACTATTACTATATGAACATTATTTTTTAACACACAATTAAGGGAAAAAATCATCTATCTTTTTAAAAAAGATACTAAATGAAGATGCACATTTAGAAAACAAACTAAAATAATGTTTTGAAAATGTGTTGATAATAATACCTTTAAATAAACAAAAAATATAAATTTAAATTTAAGTAATACAAGTGTTGTTACAAAATTATTAGCTACATTCTCATCCTTTCTGCACAATACTTATTTGCAATCACTTGATTTGTGGTGATTGTTCACTTAATAGCCAGAAAATCTCCAAGTTTAGCTTTGATTGAATATTTAATCTATAAGTTATGGAAAAACTGGTATAGAATTACAATTTGGCTAGAATTTTATGAAGAACTATTATCTAGTTCAACTTTACATAACCCAACCACCCCGCTGGTAGAAAGCCAAATCATTTCTTTTTCTATCTTTTCATACCTTCTGCTGAACTACTTTACCTATGTACAACTTATAAAACAATTAAAAAATCTGTTTCCAAGGTGAAATAAGCCAAAGGACACTTAAAATAAGAAGTAGAACTGGCACTGAATCCTTGTCACTTGCTGAACAGAAGTGTCCTTCACCATATCCATCACAAAAACCTTGTGTAGTTATCTTTATGTTCTCAATAAAAGCTTCGGCATGTTGCTCTCCAAGCTTGTCACACCGATAATTTGCTGAGGAGTGCACACAATTTACAAATTTGTGAAAAGCACTAAAAACAGAAGAAAAAAAATTATACAGGTGTTTATTATAAAGACTCAACTCTTTCTGATGGTATTTAAAAGTGAAAATATACAAATATTTATCTACATATCAGGTTATAACATTATCCTGGCACTTGCTTCATACAAATCAAGTGAAGAGTAGTAATTTCCCAAAGGCACCAAAATTAAAATATAGAAAATTTAACTTACATAGTGGAATAAAAATCAATGAAACCACTTGAAATGAATAGGGTCTAAAAAACATTTCACTTTAAAGCAGACAGAATTTTGCAACAGAGAACAGGAAAAGTCAATAATCTGTTATACATACTAATTTATGATGAGGATTAAGTCCATTTTGATATTTATTCTTACCCCTGTATGTAGACCCATAACTTACAAATAATATAAATACATTTTCAGTAACATTTCATAAAATAGTTCATGAATAATGCAAATTGTTGTTTTAGTTAGCTGCTAGGATCTTTATACATTATATTTAATATGTCAACCTCAATTATTAATACTAATTTCTGATCAAAAGTAAGTTAACTACATAGATACAAACTAAAGTAAACAATAAATTAATGATTCCAATGCTGTATAACAAAGTGATATGAAGTGCACAATGTCATGAATTAGCACACAGAAAATGTCTTTGGTTTTCCTAGAGTATTCAACCTTATCTCTAATTATCCATGGTTTGTGTGGATACCAAATATTTGTTGCAATTTAAGGAAATGTAATTTGCAGCTTTTAAGAAGTGGATTGATTATGAAATAATTCATCACACCTCACTGACCTTGTATGTACTAAGATAAATCTAGACTATAACAGACTCGTTATTTTCAAGGGGCATATTTTAAAGATCTAAGCAATATATAATGAGAATATTGAAGTTCAAATGTTTGTTTTGTCTTGCAGCTACTCTCTCTGCAATCATAAAATGTGGGTCTCTACTTTAATTACAATTGCAGTTTTACTGGTTGTATAGACCAGGGGTCGGTAACCTACAGCTCTCGTGCTCTACTCTTACTGTGAAGAAAAGTTAAGAATCTTTCAGGCACAATAGGTGTTAATTTAATTTCTACATTTGCTGAGGGGAATCGAACCCCTAATTTTAGCATCGTAAATTCAAAGACTTACTGCTTTTTTTTTTCTTTTCTTTATATATTAGCTTAGACCACTAGGGGATATTGGCTCTTGAAATGTTTTGGTCTTTGACAAAAACAAAAAATTGGCTCTTCTTCATTGAAGAGTTGCCAACCTCTTGTATAGACCATACCTTATACTTTATACCTTCAAAAACTCTGACTACCTTAATGCTAGCATATTAATTAAGTAAGAAGCATAATGAGTCATATTGAATAGCTAAGCAAAGGTTGGAAAAACTATATATGCACTATAAAAAAAATATTTTCATCAGTGTCATCCAAATTTTGAAAAAAAAAAGAACATCAGAAAATACACTCATTTGTGGTTGCATTAAAGTAAAACCTCAAAAATGTCTTTGTGTTAAGGTTTTAAATTTTGCACTCACACTGCTGTCAACCACATTGCATTTATTTTCAATAGCCCCCAGGAATGATTATTCAGAAATTAAAATAGGAAACTCAAGCTTTTTATTGACACAGTGACAGCTAAATTTAATCCACGGTTTTACTTAAGTAAACTAAATTATGCTTTTTTATGCAGAAGGATATACCAGCAAATGTTTCAAGCACATCTGCCCTGGTTTTCAGAAGTTTTCACACATAAAAAAAGAAAAAATTCCACACAGCTTTTAGTTTTATATGACTTTTTATCATTCATGTACATGGGTGCAATGTTTAATATGGTACAAGACTCAAAGTGAAAAAACGTTAACTGTTTAACACACCAGCAGTGCTCTTTCGTTGAGGGAGGAGCTGGAGTTTCTTCTCCTTTTCCTTCTTTCTTATTCTCTATAGCTTTTTCAAATGCTTCTCGACATATTTTTATGTCTCCTTGCATCTTCACCAGGCAGTAAGCACTTTTGGAAGAACCTTTAAAAGCAAAGAAAATGATAAAAATCCTTGTTCATTTTCCTATAAAGTAAATGGAATTTCCAAATATGAGACTGAAATATAATATTAGATTCTCCCTGCTTATATGTGCCACTATTTCAGTCTACTGTGGAGGAAATAACAATCTATAGTTTTGCAAATAATCTTTTTTTTTCCTGTCAGATATTGTTACCCTTAAAACTATTGAACTATTAAACAAAAGGCACTTAACGTGAGTAAATCTTGAAATTATTCCTCACGTAAAAATATAAATTGAGGAAGAATGGCATTAATAAACCTTGTATAACAAAGAACATGATCTGTTTTAGTCTCTTTGTTTTGACATTCCTTTAAGATTAGAATTTCTTTATAATTCTATATCAGGCCACCTGCTGTAAATTTATATTAAGAACTTATTTTTTAACCTTTTGAGTATACTATTCTTTATGAAAGAATTTATTAGGAAGAAGGACAAAAAGCTGATTTCAGAACTGATAAGATTCAGTTTCAAAATTACTAGAAGCTGTATCAATAAAAAAACGATGGTATTTTGCATTCTTAATTCACATACACATATCTAAGTATAACTTTGATTTGTGTCAGTCACAAAAATTATTTGTGCTTAAACTTTCAAAGCATGCTGAATTAACACAAAATAATGTTTAGTGTTTGTAGATCAGACTTCAGGCTGAATTAACAGAGAACAATTTTAACTGATAATACTTGCTGGCTGAATTAATACAAAAGTTAACATTTTCTTCTTCTGAGAATGTATTTCCATCAGGTACTTACCACCTCTCACCCAAGGCTATCTCAATTCTGGACTGCCTTCTAAGTATTGTTAAATTTTTTGCTAAAAGCACACCAGTTTTTTTATACACCATCAATTTTGCCCCATTTCAGAACGTGCTAATCATGTGACTACCTTCCACCAATCATACTGCACCCTCTATACTAGCACCGCTATCTCCCTCTACTATCCTAGAGAAATCCTCAATTTTAAGAATTGGCAGGTACTAACCAAAAACACTGGAATATCAGTGAGGAGAAAAGGTAGAATACATTTTCAGTGTAAGAAAATGTTAACTTTCAAAACAGTCTTACCTCCTCTCACTCAAAGCTAGAATCCCAAATTGCAAAGGTAGAGGGGCCAGTAAAGGCACATCAGTATCCAATCAAGCAGAAAGCAACCGCACTGAAAGAACAAGTGTGCAAGAATATGAAAAGAAAGCACACCTGTGGGGTATAGCACTACTTCTGGAACAGGTATGTTTTTCACCCAATAATTAATACAGGAACAAAAAGAGGGAGCGAAACTAAATTGGCAGGCACCAATACAATCAGAAAAGAGAAATAAAGCACCAAATCAGTAGAAAAGTGCTGTATAACCATAACTTGACAAACAAACATGGAAAGTATAGTGACAACGAACCTATAGAAGTAAGTGCCAACAGTAGTGCCTTGGGTTACATCAGAGTATGTTAAGTGTGGTCCACCTGGGCAAAAAACATACAATGGCAGCACCTTGTATAAGATATAAAAATCAACAAGTGCAGTCTGCCCAAGTAACATGGAAGTGCCTTGGGGTAGGTTGAACTA